CACTTTCCCAATTGCAAATAACAGCCATACTGGTAGTTAAACATCTGGGAGGGTTCGATTTCTACTAACTAGTTTTTTCACTGGTTTCTTATAAAACTGTGCTACTTACCGTATAGCAGTAGAAATAATCGCAGGATTGATATTCGCGAGTTCAGTTAGGCGTGGATGTTGGCCTTGTCCGAATGTATGTGAAAATTATGCCACGGGCGCCCTGATAACAAAACAGTGGAATCCTACGGAGTAGACTTTTGAACTTCATCGGAATTTTCCGTGTTAGCTGGGAACTAAGGCCTCAGAAAAAGTATCTTCAGATTTAATTTGAAAGTCGCTATGAATATTAGTTTCGGATTTCACACTGTAGCGGAATATCAATATGCACTGAGGGCGGTTTAGCGTACGCTCAACACGAGTGCAAGTCCAAGCCTACTACACACCTTTCACCGAGTTCGTATCGGTATACGACAGGACTACAAGATGTTTGGCTCATTAAGGGATCCTCCCGCTTTTCTAGTCTGGTTTATAGCGCATAAACAGATTATTTTATTCGACCTGCCACCGGAAAACTGGAAAGTCTATATAATGAACGCAAAGGCAGTGAAACACGTTTCCACGCTTTCACCTTGTGCCGTAGCCGGAAGTATGGTAAACTAGTTAAAGCAGTTAAACTGGTTAAACCAGTTAAACCATCGCGAATGGTGATGTCTACCGCGTGCTCCCTAGTATGGCACGCACAGGGACGGTGGCCTGAACATGAATTATTTAGTTTATAGTGATAGTAAACTTGCGATGCACCTGCCGAATTCCCTCTTATTTCACAAACCAGAACCTATTGTTCAAATAAAATAAGAAAGGCCGGAGGCAGGAACAGGCATAGTTGCTGCTAAGGCTTGTGGCGGACGGCCAACAAATGCTGTTCCCTTCCTTGTTCAATGCCTGTGGCCCTCAACGTCACCTATTTTTGCAGGCAGCTGTTCCCACTCGCTGATCTGAAGACCATTTGACCGATATTCGCTCGCATAAGAGTGCGCACACAGGTGCGCACACGCGTGCCCAACTGGTCGCGGTTTCTCAAGGATCACTTGAACACGCCAAGCCGCGGCCACGCAGCAGGGGGCCTCTACAGTCGACAACCAATTCGGACAATTGCAACACACCAATAGCAAATCACTTGAGCTCGCTTCACAGTCATGTAAAGGAAGCTGCCATTTTAATTACACTCAGTCGATACTCTCAGGCACGACTGGGCGCAGTCAACACCAGCCCTGGCTTCGCCAGCGGCCACTGCTGCCTGAGACAATATTGCAGGGTTCTGTACACAACAAATGCCTCCTTCTGGTGACTTCTGTTTTTCAACTCCAATCCGGGATTCGATCTGAAGTTTGTAGTGATCCGAGTACAAAGACAACTTAGACTGCTACAGGCTAAACACCGCATCTACGCATGACACACGAACCTAGTCCGTACACCAAGTATCATGTTTGCACAGAACCAAGGGTCGGCTCGGATCCCGCCTGTATTGGAGGATCGTAGAGACCACGTTAGAAGAGAGTCCTTGCAGTTCGGGTCTCTCTCTCCTGGTGGACCGAGTTGTCTCGACAAGTAGTAGCCTCCAAAGCCATCATTTTTAGCGCGTCGCGATATTTTCAAGGAGAATAAGCTTGTTCAAATGAAGAATGCTCTGATGATGAAGACCCAAGAGTCAACCTCCCTCTCCCTGGAATCTCCCAGGAACTAATCCACTGTCCGAGCCAGTCAGCTACCTGCTGCGGAGATTGGCCGCAAGTGGCCAGCATAGCGTGAGCGTGTCAGCTACTCAGATATGACATTTAGCATGAATGCGCGGTCGCATTAACGCGTAACTTGCCCTCTTCTAGCACCATATCGTACGTACGTTCATTCCGCTCTTTAAATACGGAATTCAGGTGTGGCGTCTGTGGGTAAAATAGAATGACAAATGAGTACAAAGTATTGAAAGGGAAGCATCAAGGAAACTCACGGTCTTATCATACAAACTCGAGCTTTTTGAGCCTTACATAGTCCGCCTAGATTTCAGACGGGCTCACGGGTATTGCACATACTCCTGCTAGGTTGTAAGGAGCCGGGACTGTTTTCTACAGACCCACGACTTTTTCGCATTTCCCGCACTTTTCGCACTTCCCGTCTACCTAACTGAAAATTCCCCAATCTTCAAGCAGTCTTATAATTATTCATCAGTATTCTCTCCCCCTCTCGACGTGCTGTCAATACTTAGCGCGGCCTTCCTGAAAATTTAATAATGACATTTGCGTCAATTCGGCCGCCGCGAACGACGATATCGGCCTCCATATGCTCTGCTGCAGTGTGAACGCAAGATGACAACGTCCTGCTATCGGTCCACCTTCACCTCTACGGTCTGGTAGCAGGACTGAGGCGAAATCGCACACAATGATTGACAAGAATAAAAAGCTCATTTTTAGCGCACCGTGATAGTTTAAAAAGCACGGCAGGTTGTTTATACTGAAGAATATGCGCCGAGTCCGTGGAGCGAGGGAAGGAGGAGGGGGGGCGAAGCCAGAGCCGACCCCATTCGACCTCTTACCTCTCCTAAACACCAATCAAATGTTGGAGCCGGTCGGCCATCTGAGACTAGGATTGAGCGTGCGTTGCTCATGTGGCGTGTGACTATGCCTAGGCTTGCCGCCACACTACCTCTTGGTGTGGCTTTTTATGGGATCTGCGGACTCTGCTTAGACTCGTGCCATGCCCTAAATTAGTCCCCTGTTGGTCAAACGCGGTCCGTTGTAAAGGTCCAACAGTCATGACATAGCAATTTAGGGCAGGGAACTATAGAAGAGTGCTTGGAAGGCCAACATGTACAATAACCGCTTACTGACAAGTAGGGCGAATTTTCCCCAATCTTCCAATTTTTAGCGCACCGGCCATTGGGGGGGGCGGGTTGGTGATGATATTGAGCTGCAGAGGGGTCCTCGGAGGGCCAACATGCACAACATGCGCGACTTTCTTAAATAACATGACAATTGCGTCCTGATTTGTTCCCCAATATGCCCCACGCATTCTCTCGCCTAAAACAAGGTGCCCTTATTGGAATGGAGCACTCCTCGGGCGCACTATGCAGACCCCACAATAGTTCCTTATCCAAGTTAGGTACAAGCCGTATTTATATTTACGGTTGAAATACCAACCAGACAAACGGAAAGTAATTGGCATGCATGATAAATGCCACTGTGAAGGTCATTTCTACCCCTCATTCTTTGTATTAATTTTTGCTGTCTAGCTGTCAACCCTCCTTTTTAAATGCGTTAATGTATATTGTAGTGTATATTGTATTGTAGTACTGTAGGTCCTGTATTAGCATACATATTTTGCTCTACCTAATGTGTTCCGCTTCTGTTAACTTTCGTAAAGGTATTTTATCTTTCAGTCAGATATGTTGGTTCATTCTAATTTATCATCCTTCTAAACTTCTGGCTCACACTCGCAAGAAGTTGGCAACTACTACTGCGTCGCATTTAGTTGTGAGCCCGTTTATATCTGATTGGTTGCGAAGTTCCTCCAGCATTTCGTGTAAGATTAGACATGTTTCATCTCTAAAAACCAATAACCCTTTGCCATCTTCTTATACTGCCATTCGCACCACAACAAGTCCCAGGGTAGTCAGACAATAGCCTTTATTTCCGCATTTACCTTGGACATCCGCCACGGTTGCA